GGGCGGCCTGGCCCCGAGCAGGGCAGTGTGCCGGGTGGGCGGTGGGTGGGTTCTGAGCACAGGCTGAGTCACTGTGGGAGCTACTCCAATACCCACAGTGACAGAGGCCAGGACAATATGGCCTGTCCCAGGGCCTCGGCTGGAGGCACACACCTCACAGCTACCTCCAGGTTCTGGCCGAGGTCACGACCCCTCCAGCCGTCCTCCCAGGGACAAGCCAAGGTAAGCGTTGCCTCTGGAAGCTGAGCTGCAAACAGGGCTGGGGGTGGGCTGTGCTGAGGGGCCTCTGGGTTCCCCGAGGCCCTGAGCTTCATCAGCAAATTCACCTTCAGAAGAGGGTCCCTAGGGCCCTGGGGGAAGGGTGCCTGGGCAGACAGATGGTCCCTGGGATGGAGGGCATGGTGCTGGGCAGGCAGAGGGTCCCTGGGGCCAGGTGGGCAGACAGAGGGTCCCTGGGTCCTGGTGGACAGGGTGCTAGGCAGACAGAGGGTCCCTGGGGCCTGGTGGGCAGGGTGCTAGGCAGACAGAGGGTCCCTGGGGCCTGGTGGGCAGGGTGCTAGGCAGACAGAGGGTCCCTCGGGCTTGGTGGGCAGGATGCCAGGCAGGCAGAGGATTCCTGGAGCCTGGTGGTCGGGTGCCTGAGCAGGCAGAGGGTCCCTGGGCCTGGTGGGCAGGGTGCCTGAGCAGGCAGAGGGTCCCTGGGGCCTGGTGGGCAGGGTGCCTGAGCAGGCAGAGGGTCCCTGGGCCTGGGGGCAGGTTGCCTGGGCAGACAGAGAGTCCCTGGGATCTGGTAGGCAAGGTGCCCAGACAGGCTGAGTGTTCCTCGGGCCTGTTGGGCAGAGTGCCTCTGGGGTCTGGTGGACAGAGTGCCTGGGCAGGCAGAAGGTCCCTGGGCCTGGTGGGCATGGTGTCTGGGCAGACAGCTTGTCCCTAGGGCCTGGTGGGAAGGAGCTTGGCAGAAAGAGGGTCCCTGAAGCCTGGTGGGCAGGGTGCCTTGGCAGACAGAGGGTCCCTGGTGGGCAGGGTACCAGGGCAGAGTGTCCTTGGGGCCCAGTGGGCAGGGTGCCTGGGCAGGTAGAGGGTTCCTGTGGCCTGATGGGCAGGGTGCCAGGGCAGACAGAGGGTCCCTGGGTCCTGGTGGGCAGGGTACCAGGGCATAGTGTCCTTGGGGCCCAGTGGGCAGGGTGCCTGGGCAGGTAGAGGGTTCCTGTGGCCTGATGGGCAGGGTGCCAGGGCAGACAGAGGGTCCCTGGGTCCTGGTGGGCAGGGTACCAGGGCATAGTGTCCTTGGGGCCCAGTGGGCAGGGTGCCTGGGCAGGTAGAGGGTTCCTGTGGCCTGATGGGCAGGGTGCCAGGGCAGACAGAGGGTCCCTGGGTCCTGGTGGGCAGGGTACCAGGGCATAGTGTCCTTGGGGCCCAGTGGGCAGGGTGCCTGGGCAGGTAGAGGGTTCCTGTGGCCTGATGGGCAGGGTGCCAGGGCAGACAGAGGGTCCCTGGGTCCTGGTGGGCAGGGTACCAGGGCATAGTGTCCTTGGGGCCCAGTGGGCAGGGTGCCTGGGCAGGTAGAGGGTTCCTGTGGCCTGATGGGCAGGGTGCCAGGGCAGACAGAGGGTCCCTGGGTCCTGGTGGGCAGGGTACCAGGGCATAGTGTCCTTGGGGCCCAGTGGGCAGGGTGCCTGGGCAGGTAGAGGGTTCCTGTGGCCTGATGGGCAGGGTGCCAGGGCAGACAGAGGGTCCCTGGGTCCTGGTGGGCAGGGTACCAGGGCATAGTGTCCTTGGGGCCCAGTGGGCAGGGTGCCTGGGCAGGTAGAGGGTTCCTGTGGCCTGATGGGCAGGGTGCCAGGGCAGACAGAGGGTCCCTGGGTCCTGGTGGGCAGGGTACCAGGGCATAGTGTCCTTGGGGCCCAGTGGGCAGGGTGCCTGGGCAGGTAGAGGGTTCCTGTGGCCTGATGGGCAGGGTGCCAGGGCAGACAGAGGGTCCCTGGGTCCTGGTGGGCAGGGTACCAGGGCATAGTGTCCTTGGGGCCCAGTGGGCAGGGTGCCTGGGCAGGTAGAGGGTTCCTGTGGCCTGATGGGCAGGGTGCCAGGGCAGACAGAGGGTCCCTGGGTCCTGGTGGGCAGGGTACCAGGGCATAGTGTCCTTGGGGCCCAGTGGGCAGGGTGCCTGGGCAGGTAGAGGGTTCCTGTGGCCTGATGGGCAGGGTGTCAGGGCAGACAGAGGGTCCCTGGGCCCGGTGGGCAGGGTGCTGGGCAGACAGAGGGTCTCTGTGGCCTGGTGGTTAGGGTGCCTCTGAGGGCTGGTGGACAGGGTGCCTGGGCAGGCAGAGGTTCCCTTGGTCCTGGTAGGCAGGGTGCCTGGGCAGACAGAGTGTCCCTGGTGCCTGGTGGGCTGGGTGCTGGGCAGACAGAGGGTCCATGGCGCCTGGTGGGCAGGGTGCCTGGGTAGTCAAGGGTCCTGGGGCCTGGTGGGCAGGCAGAGAGTCCCTGGGCCTGGTGGGCAGGGTGCTGAGCAGGCAGAGGGTTTTGGGCTGCTGCACGGGCTCCCAGCCTCTGCTCACCTGCTCCGTGCCTCCGTGTCTCCACTGTGAGGGTGGGCTGACAGAAGGACAGTGGTTAACTTGTAGAACGGCTGAGCCCAGCACCATCCCTGGGCTCCCTCCGTGGTCAGGAGCAGGCCACGCGCTGACCCTGAGCCCTGCCCTGAGCTGGCAGATGCTGGCCCCTCAGCCTTCACCTGCGTGAGCCAGGTCTGTTCCCCCCGCCCCCCGTTTTGTCCGCCCTGCCCCGCCGGCACTGCCCCTCTGCCACACTGGACGGTGCCTGGCCCCAGCAGCTGGTGATTTCTGTGGGGCCATTTAGACGAGTCAGTCCTGGGTCCCCCACTGGAGCAGAGACCTCTGGTTGAGCGAGCCCATCCCTCCAAGGACCAGACGTCAGAGGACCGTGGCCTCAGGGCCCCAGACTCAAAGGGGTGAGCTGCCAGGCCTGGGATCAGAGTGAGCCTGAGGGTGCTGGGGCACCTGGGCAGCGCTGAGCTGGCCCTGGTTATTGCTGTGGGTGGTAACTGTTCAGACCACTGTCTGGCACCCTGTGACCCTGTGACAATAACCGGGGCCTGGAGGTGAGGCCAACGTGCCAGGTGCCACCAGGGCTGCTGTGGAGGCGGGAGCTGCCCTGGGACCCAGCCGGGTTCCCAGTAGCTGGGACAGGTCTGCAGACCCCGGGGTGGGCTGGGAGGGGGGAAGAGTGCTCAGGACTCCTGGGTCTACTCAGGCCTCGATCCGGGGGAAATGGGCAGACGAAATGTGGAGATTCGGGGTGTGCTGCACTGGCGGGGCTCACGCCACTGACCCAGGGTGGAGATGGTGACTAGTGACTAGGCCTGGCTGCTGAGACCTGCCTATGGGGTCCTGGGCTGAGCTCGGGGCTCGGGTGGGCATCTAGTCTGCCCCTGATGTCCAGGGTCTAGGGTTCAGGGTCCAGGGTCTGTGGGTCTTTGGATGGGGGACCCTCTGCCTGTTACACGAGGAGCTAGGCTACCCCAAGAGCTTGCCTGGGCCCCTGTCTGCCCCAGTGGGGAGCACTGGAGGGCAGGTTTCGGTCTAGAGCAGGGGATCAGGGTGGGACAATGGCTGGGGAGGAGGGAGGCAGAGGCTGGGCAGGAAGGTCTCAACTCCCAGACGGGCCTGGCCGGGGGAGCTGTTTCCACGGCCCCTGTCCTGAGCTGCTGCCCTGGGCCCAGCAGCTGGGCCTTCGAGGGGGTGCTGTGTCTGACCCAGGCTGCCCTTCTGGAAGGTTTTAGCTTCAGCTCTGCTGCCACATCTGTACGGCGTGGAGTGGACATGATGATAAGCCCTCGGTCACATCTTACTGTCCAAAGCCACCCTCCCAGGAAGACCCACTGGTGAGCGGCCCCTGGGCCAGAAGCCTGGATGTGGACAGGGTCCGAGTGTGCAGAGGGAGCGCGGGCAGCCAGGAGCCCAAGCTGTGCAGCCAGAGTGGGGGCAGCCCTGGGGCTGAGGACACGGCCAGGCCCTGGACGGTGTCCTCCATCAGGAACCTGCAGCCCAGCTCAGACGGGCAGAGTGGGTGTCCCTGCCGCTGGGTGGGGAGGCCAGCTCCTCCCAGGGGAAGAGCTTTCCCTATAGGCCAGTCCCTGCGGTTGGACTTCAACCTGGTGCCTGAGACACATGGAGGCCAGGAACCTGGCAGGCAGCCCCACTCCCGGGGGAGAAGCCCTGGGACCCCTCAGGCCATGCCCGGAGGGGACCCGCTGCTCAGGATCCCAGAGTCTGGGAGGTGCTCCCACCCAGAGCCCTGTCTCCTGGCTCAGGGGTGAGCTGCCTGCCACAGAGCCGAATGCAGGCTCAGCTCTCCCTCAGCCTCCCTGAGGGTGCCTGGGGCCCTGCCTGTTGGGAGCCTGAGCTCAGACGGTCTGCCCAGTGTGGCTCTGACCTTCCTGCTGGTGTTGAACTTGGCAGGCATCTGCCTGTGGGGTCTGGGAAGCCACTCAGAGCCCCCTGAGGCCCTGGCAGCAGGTGGGTGCCGGGCTCATGGGCTGAGCTGCTAGAAGTAGACCTGGAGGCGTAGGTCAGGGCTAGGACCCTGGGAGCCTGAGGTCCTGGCAGTGTGGCTGGGTTTATGGTAGCAGGTCTGTCACTGTGGTAGCTGTGGTCGCACAGTGGGAGGGGCCTTGGCAAAAAGCTCCTGTGTGTGGTCGGAGGCCCTGCCCTGCGGGAGGCCCTGGCCCAGGTGTCTGGTGGGCCCGTCCGCATGGGGACCATGGGTTTCACAGTCCCTGGAGCTGGCAGGACAGGCCCCTGTGAGGGACGCTGAGGGGGTGCTCACTGTGTCTGCGGCCCTGAGGGTTTGTGCTTCGGGCTGCACCGCTGTGGTACCACCATACCGATGGTGATGGGGCCCCGTTCAAAATCCAGGGGTGGTGCCACAGCAGGCAGAGGGCAGGGCCCGCTCGGCTCCAGCGGAGTTTTTTGTTTTTGCAACGGGTCAGCTTTTATTGAATGTGTTACAAAAGAGCTAGTTTAGTCAAAAAGACCAAAGCCCATGTCATGATCAGACTCCTCAGATTCTTCTTTCTTTGCTTCCACTTTCTTCTCCTCAGCTGGGGCAGCAGCGGTGGAGGGGGCAGGACCTCCTGCTGGTGCAGCACTGGCTGCAGGGGCAGGTCCACCAGCCCCCACATTGCAGATGAGACTCCCCATGTTGACACTGGCCAGAGCCTTTGCAAACAAGGCTGGCCAGGAAGGTTCAACATTTGCACCAGCTGCTTTACTGAGGGCGTTGATCTTATCCTCCAGCACCTCACTTCATCCTCGTGCAGGATAAGGGCCGAGCAGATGCGGGAGAGCTCCGAGAGGAGGACGTGGTGAGGGTGAGTGCTGGGCGAGCGCGGCTGGGAGGCCGGATGAAGTGAGGGCCTCACCCCTTAGCTTCCTCAGAAGAACCGAGCACCTTACCGGCAGCTGGGGAAAGGGGCTCCAGCAGGGGTTTTGATGGGCACGGTGACACTGTGTCTGTAACAACCAAACCCAGAGCAGTAAGCGTAGCCCCATCCTCTCCCTCCCGCCCGGGGATCCTGGAATTCCATGATGGCCTGTGGCCCAAGGCAGGCCCCAGGGAGTCTGTGGTTTGGTGCAGGGCTGGGGCGCCTGGGAGGCCTTGCCCGGCTGGTGGATGGGACCCTGCCCGGCTCTGTCTTGAGGCTCCTTGGCAGGGCACGGCTGCCTCAGCCTGCTGTCCAGGCCCATTTTGGAACCCAAACCCATTGTGAAGGCCCCTGGTTGATCAATTGCCCCCGATCTCTGTAGGGGTCACTGTGGGGCCTTTGGTCCTCCTGGAGCCGGCGGGTGATCCCCAGTTGGGAATTGGCTCCCACTGCTGCCGACCCTGGGACTCCGGGTTCGAATTGTGCTCACTGACCCTGGGGACATCGGAAAGGAGGGCCCAGCCTCGCTTCACCTGGACCCTCCTTCCAGCCTCTCCCTGGCCATCTCCCTTCCCCTCTGCCTGGGCAGGCGCTATCCCCGCTAATCCTGCCAGGAGTCGCACATCCTGGTGATGGAGACCTGGGTGATCCCTCTCCCTGGGCCGGCCCATCAGCAATGCAGCTTCAGTTCTGTCTGCCCAGCAGGACTTGGAGCAGATGCAGGGAGGACCCAGTGAGGCCCAGGAGCAGGGAGGCCCAGGTGCAGGGAGGCACAGGCCTCCTTCTTGGGACATGTGGCCTCCCGAGCCCCTGGGCCCCAGGCCTGAAGCGCGGCCTGATCCTCTAAGCCCCTCTGTGGTGTGGCCTCTGCAGAAGGGACACCTGCCTGTTTCTAGTCCCAATCTGAGCCCCTCAGCAGCATCCGCTTGTCTAGGGGGCACCCCAGGGCGGCGTTGGCCTCCATCGCCCTCAAGTCCCCCATGAGATTCTGGAGCCCAGGGCCAGCCCTTTGCAGTGGCCTTGCTGGGTGTCCCCTCTTCCCGTGGGTCTTCAGTCCTCTGAACCCCTCCCTCCTCTGAACCTCGGTGGCCCCGTCCCAGTTCCCAGGGGCCCACGTGGGTGCCTTTGCTCTTTAGTCTCAGGGGGTGGAGCCTGCCCTGGGACCCTGCCCAGGTCCCCTGAGGCATCGGGGTGTGGGGGCTTCGGGGTGTGGCAGGAAAGGAACCACAGGCCCAGGACCTGGTGTGGTTCCCAGCACCGCCTGGTGGTCAGTTTTAAAAGTACATTTACGTCAGTTTTGAAACATCTCATTACAGATGCAGCATCTGCGGAGGTGGAGGTTTGACGTCAGCGGCAGGGGGTGTCTCCTGGCCGGTCCCCAGCCGCCTCTTCGGCCCCACAGGGATGGCATTGCCTCCTGAGGGGCCCAGCTGCTCCGTCCTCTCACAATCCGAGGCCGAGGCAGCACGCCCGCCTCCAGCGCTGGGTGTGTCACTCCTGCAGTTGTCAGGGTCACAGCGATGCGTCCTTACACAATCCCCGGCCCTGGGTGGGCGGCTCCGCCCGGCCAGATCCTGTTTCCAGGGGGGTGACTGGGGCTGGTCTGACCCAAACCTCCCCAGTCAGGAGGCGGCTCTGCACAGGCCGCCTGCGTCCTGGACGCTGAGTCCTGGCTGGGCCCCTGGCTGAGCCCTGGCTGGGGGAGAGGAGCCTTCGACCAACGGAGCAGCAGCGTGGTCCTCCCCGGCAGGCCGCCTGGCAGCTGTGACCCCGCCCGCTGTCTGCGACCCCGCCTTCTTGTCTATGACCCCGCCCTGTTGTCTGCCACCCCGCCCGGTGCCCCCGAGGTTTCCAGTTTGCTCTCTGGCCCCTGTTGGAGCCTCCTGTCCCCAGCGCGGCTAGCGAGGGCCCGGCATCCCGGCATCCGTCCCCACTCCCGGTCCCTGACCTGCTGAGGCTGGGGGGGTGGGTGGGGATGG